TCTAAATTATTAGTTAGTATGCACGCTTTTCTTCCTTACAGATAGAACGTATGAAGATTTAAATACTCGTTCTGAAGTTTATGAGAACAATCAACATAATTCTGAAGATGTAAAAAGAATATGAAAATATGAGAAGAAATTGAATATAACAAATGTTATATGAATGTAAAAAATATCTATATGATAATAAAGATTAGACCATATTCAATAGTTTCTTTAAAATGGGAGACAACTTATTATTTGTTATAAAGGAATATGAGACAGTTTCTAGTGAAGTCAGAAGTCACTTTGAATTTCAAATTACAATATAACAATTGTGTGCCAACAAATTCCTTTTGAGCCTTCTATTTGTTAAAAAAAAACCGAAATATAACCATCTAATTGTTAATGATGGGTTCTGTAACTTATACTGTTTTATGGGCTGGTGGCACTGGAAGGTGATCTTCTTGGTCTTTCGTGTTTTCAGGCTTTGATGTAGCATAGGCTACAAGCACCTCAGGGGCACCAGAGAATTACATGAAAGACCCATGAGTCAGTTTTTAACGCAATATTTTACTGATAACCAAACCTTTTGTCAAATGTGCCCAACATTTTAAGGATTTTGGTATTTGCCTTGAATTACCAACTGCACTCTGGTAGTTTTTTATTAAGCTCTTGAGTTATTCTTTGGTGGGGATAACAGGAGGTAGTAATTTATTGGGGCACAAGGTGTCCAAAAGGTTTGTAACCGAGATTCCGGTGTTTCTCACGAGAACCTTCTCTGACGTGATTACGGTAAAAAAAATTGAAACCGAAATCCCAGTGTTCTCAAGACCCTCTCTGACGTGATACCTTCTAGACATTGCTATAATATAGTAGTATGTATTTAGGTCATATTATACAATCATATAATAGTATGTATAGGTGTTTTCATGTTTAACAGGGGCATTAAATAACAGCCTTACAATAAAAAAAACTATACACTAGTAGACCAACTATATGACAAGAGAAGATCGTCTTGTTGAATATTATTCAATAACATGGAGTATAAATGTATATTAATAGTCTTAGTATATTTATCAGTACTAATTACAGGTAAGTGATGTATTTACATTGTTTTTATTTATCATGATATACATCTATAAGATAAGTCTTCGTGTAGAGTAAAATAAAATAACAATAGTTATATTCAACTTACGCTTAACGCATATAATAATATCATATGATATATCAAATCGCACTGTCAACTTTGACATTTTTTTATGATAGATATTTGACTTCTAGTTTTACCTTCAAAATATTTAAACCATATACCCTTTATATATATATTACATGGATAAAATCATTTGATAGATAGTTGCCTTCTTTTTTCCATTGTAGATTTTATGTCCCAAAGTAAACTAATCTATAGGGATTTTATATTGAGAGGAAGAATGAAGAATTCAAACTAAAATATTCATCAAAATATCAAGTTTCTATTTACAGCAATGCGATATCAGTTGGCTTATAGTATTTAACATCTCAAAACTTAGATTGGTAGTTTTATGGGTTTTTTTAACGAAACAATATCATGTATTTCGTTTTAGCGAAACAATATCAGGTATTTCGTTTTAACGAAATAATATCATGTATTTCGTTTAAACGAAAAAAAGTAATTCGTTGAATTGAATTAATTGTTTCGTATTACAAAGTATTGAAAATTGCGCCTAAGGAGGATTCCGTAGAAAGGTAACAATAGCTAGAAGTTTAATTACCATATTGTTTATATTACAGGTCAATATACTATAAGAGGAGTTCCTGAAAGTTATGCAGAGTTGGGTGAAAATTATAGATTACAATGTAATGTTACAGATTCACCTTCTGGTTTAGATTTCCGTAGAAACAATATTGTTGTATGTAATATGATTAATTGTGAGAGTCAATCAATAGATAATAGATATAAATGTGGATGTATCAATAATAACAACAAACAACTATATCTCAATATAAGTAATATAAATAAACAAGATGATACAACATGGTCTTGTAGAGGTAATTCTGGTGGACAAGGATCAACTAATGTATCAGTTTATTGTAAGTTTATTTTCATCTCTGTTTAATTTTCAGATTATCATTCTTAAGTCAAAATGGCAGGATAATACAAACTTAATTTTCATTTTCTGTGAAGCAAAAAAAAATTGTCCTTTCTCATTTTATTAGCAGCGTAATTTGGTTAAATTCAATCAAAGAAATAAAAAACGAAGTGATTTTTACAGATGGTCCAGAGAATATAAGATTTAACCCCACTAGTGATAATATAGATGGTATAGAAGGAAAGAGTCAGAGTGTCAACTGTTTAGCTGATTGTAAACCAGAGTGTAACATCACCTGGTCTAAAGATGGTTTAACAACAATTCTAAATAACCGTTTATCACTGAGTACTAGAAATCAAACTGGTTCTTATAACTGTACAGTTAAACATATCGTATTAAATAAACAACTTACAAAACAACTTAATGTTCAGATTTATTGTAAGTATATAATACTTTATTAATAAATACTAGATAACAAACTGGTTCTTATATCTGTACAGTTAACCATACTGTATTAAATAAACAACTTACAAAACAACTTAATATTCAGATTTATTGTAAGTGTATAATACTTTAAGACACAAGACATTTATTAACTCAACGTTTCACATCCTCATACAGGCGGCGTTATCAGGAGAAGTGTCACTTAAATAAACAACTTACAAAACAGCTTAATGCCCAGAATTATTGTTAGTATATAATACTATAACATGTTAACTGATTGTTATTATTTCAGATGGGCCTGATAGACTTACTTTCTCACCAGATGTAACAAGTATCAATATAATAGAAGGTAGAGATCAAACTATAACATGTTTAACTGATTGTTATTATTTCAGATGGTCCAGATGAACTTACTTTCTCACCAGATGTAACAAGTATCAAAATAATAGAAGGTAGAGATCAAACTATAACATGTTTAACTGATTGTTATTATTTCAGATGGTCCAGATAAACTTACTTTCTCACCAGATGTAACAAGTATCAATATAATAGAAGGTAGAGATCAAACTATAACATGTTTAACTGATTGTTATGAATGTAATTATAAATGGACTGGACCTGTTACATCACCAACTAAAGATCTTGTATTGACTCAAATAAAAAGAAATCAGGAAGGAAACTATAGATGTGAAGCTACCAATATTAAAAATACCAACCCTT